CATGAAACCAGGATCTTCCCTTGTAGTTCTGCTGCATTCTTGGGACCAGTCTAGGATGTAGTATATCCTCTGCTTGGGAAAGTAAACAATTTCATAAGAAGAAATACTGGTCTAGACTACAACAAATTAGAAAATGAATCAAGTCAGCAGATGACAGGCTTGTTGAATAGGTCCAGGAATTATGCACAGGGCTGGGGAGAAGGACAGGTCATTCAGTCCTCAGACCTCTGCTGGCTGCTTGGCAGGAGCAAGGTGACCTTGCAGAAGCAAGGTCATAACATGCTGGGCTTGCCAGCACTGAGCTGACAAGACAGGTTCACACAGCAACCTTCCAGAGCAATGTTTCCCGAAGTGCTTCAAAGGGCTCCTGGGTTGCCAGAGCAGCTCCTACAGCGAGACCACTTAATGGGCTCTTTCTTACTTTAGGTAAGAGCCAAGTATGTGCACCTCTTCCCAACCCCTTTGGCTACTGCCTGCATGGGTAGATTGAAATGAACCAGTTGACTACATTCATGTGGGTTGTTCCTGAGCTCTTTTTTCTGTCCCATGAATCTATTTGTTCTTTCACCAATACTACACCATCCTGATTATTGTACTTTAAAGAGTTTTTTTTCTCTCCAAAGAACTTCATTTTTGTTAATGCGACTATCTATTTCAACTTAAATTCAATGCTATGAATACTGAAAAATGGAGAATGGCAGACAGGTACAAAATTTGATGTGACATTCTACTTATGTTTTATATTGTTTTCTGAAGATGTTGATCAGAGTATATGATCAAAACACCAAAACCAAAAGCAACAGTGTGTATGTATCATATCATGTGTCTACACCTTTAGAAGTATTAAGATATTAACTCTGATTTCAAAAGAAAATTTAAACAATTTGTGCCAATGCATCTCATAAAAAGTTTAACTGGCAAGTATAGACTTAGTAAGATAAACAACTAACCTGTCTTACATTCCTGTGATATATGGTTATCATTTAAGTATGGGGGGGGGAAACTAGCTTATAAACCATCTCAGCATGCTTTTCCAAACTAGAAGGACTTTAATTTCCAAGTCTCCTGAAAAAGTGCTATTTACAGTGTAAAAAGAATATCTAATACAATTAACAACAACCATGGTTTTTGCTATAGGGCGTGTGCGCTCGCCAGAAAGACAGAGAGAGACAGAGAGACAGAAAGTGAGAAATCACCCCCCAGGGGGGATGGCCACATTGCAATCTCTTCTCCTTTCTCCTCTCAGGATCTTGGGCATGCACACACATGCGCCCGGCGTGAGTTTAAGCCACTGGGTCCGGGACTCGAACTGCAGTCGACTATTTGGAATCCAGCAACATAGCCATTATGCTAACTGCTGGTCCCATGGCTACTATTGTTATGCAGGAACCACAGTGTCAGATCCCCACAGCCCATCTCTTCATCTTGGTTTTGCCACAGAAGGAGTAAGTGTACTTGGCATGCTGGCTGATTTCAGTTTTCTTCACCATCTTTTGGAGGGAAGCACCATAGCAAGTTGTGTGTTTACTGAGGATGCCAACCTTCTTGGTGTATTTAGCTATATTGCCGCCAACTAGGTCCAAGCCCAGAGAGCTATAATGAGTTTTGAAATTGATTAGAGTCAGTCTTCCAAGTTTGTTCTTCTCTCTCTCTCTCTCTCTCGGTCACTCTCTCTCTCTCTCTTTTTTTTTTTTTTTGAGATAGGGTGCATGCGATTGCCAAAGAGTCAGAGGGAGGCAGAAACTGAAAAATCACCCCCCAGGGAGATGGACACACTGCAATCCATTCTCCTCTAGTCTCTTTTCAGGATTTTGGACATGCATGTGTGCACACACATGCACAATGGGAGTTTTAAGCCACCAGGTCCAGTGCTCGAACCACAGTCAACTACATGAGAGTCCAGTGATGTAACCATTATGCCATCTGCTGGTTCCACTCTTCTTTTTTCCTGGTATTTTTTTTCCCCACTCTTCTTTTTTAATATTGTGTTAGCTATTACGAATCCTTGAGGCCTCAACTTTTAAGAGTGTTACCTTAGTCAGCATGTACTGCTCTAGCAAAATATCTGAGACTGGATAATTTATAAAGAACAGAAACTTACATCCTACAGTATTGCAAGCTGGGATATTCAAGACCAAGGTGCCAACAAATTTAGTGTCTGGTGAGTGATGCTCTTTAGCTTCCAAAATGATGTCTCATTGCTGTGTCCTCACGTGATGGAAGAGAAGGTGGGCCAAAGGCTTAGGTAGTTCCCTCCAGTCCTTTTATCAGGTCACTAATCCCGTTCCTGAGGGCTCTGGCCTCCTGACTTAATAACCCCTTATCACCAGTGTTTTAATACTGTCATATTGGAGCTTAGGTTTAACACAGGATTCTGGGGGATACATACATTCACACCACAGCAAGTGTAAAGGGAGATTGCTGAGACCAAAAAGTTTAAGAACTATTTAGAGGAAGGTAGATCTACACACAGGTGAGTACCATAGATGGTTGTGTGAAGAAAGAGGATAGAATGTAATGTAAAACAACCCAATCTGTCCTACTGCCTCATTCTAAGGGTTGAAGGAGCCTGTCCCTTTAGGGTACATCTCAGAGCATCCAAATTTAGATGTTGTGTGACACAGACATTAACCATGTCTCAGGAGAGAATGTCAGAGGGACACAGACGTGACAGAAGGGTACACGGCATGAAACATCACCCTCCCTTGAGACTAGAGAACACAGGGCAGATTAGGGAAGTTTCATCTGAGAAAGGTAGGTCTTGATTATTGGGGTTGTGCATGCAAATCTAGTGTTATGCGTCTTCATCCTTAGAATGAAGACTCTCATCAAATCCCAAGAGTCGACCATGGTGAAAAGAGGAAGAATCACCTCTGACACTGCTCACCTACCACCCGTGAAGTTCTGCAGGAAACACATGCAGAGGGGGGAAAGGTGGAGCTTTGGTCTTAAACCCCAGAATTCAAAAAATAAAAAAAAAAAAAAGTGCCCTCATCTGCTGATCCCTCCAGGGAGAAAGCTTTATTTGCTACAAGAGGCCAGTTGCTTACTCTGCTTATTCACCCAGGGTACACCCCAGACTCAGGCCACTCAGCAATGAGGGAAGCCAGCCAGAGCTACAAGAGAGAAGGATCAGCTGGTGGCCTGAGCAGAGCTGTGGAAAAGTCACGAGGGATCTGAAGAGCAGCAACATTTCTGCTGACTGTTTTGTGGAGAGAAGGTCTAGAGTTTTCATCACATTTTCAAAGTTAGTCTTTGCTCAATAAAGGTGAAGAATCGCCATGTAAGGAGTCATCAATAGTTGCAACTGTTCTGTTGAGAGTTTTTCTTTTTCTTTTTTTTTCTTTTATTTAATATTATTTATTCATTTATTTTAACTTGACCAGACACACACACACACACACACACACACAGATTGAGAGAGAGAGAGAGAGGAAAAGTGAGAAGCAAGCCAGCAGGTCCGGGACTCACACCATGGTCAGCCATATGGGAGTATCCAGCACCCTAACCACCATGCCACCTGCTGGTCCCTCCTGTTGAGAGTTTTTCAAAAAGTCCATTGAATAACATTAATACAACAAACAACTGAGTTCTCTGTGTCATACTCAGTGCTAGGAGTGGCATGAACAAGACCAATGTGATGTGCATGTCATCACGGGACACAGAAACGAATCAAGTAATCACATAAATGTGTGTCTAGTTTCAAACCAAGTATTGCTGTGGAAGAAAGGAACCTGCTTCTCTGAGGGATACTGGCTTAGAAGATGTTTTTTATTTTTATATATTTATTTATGCTTGAATAGTAATACGTTCATGTTCAGCTATTCAGAAGGATTACATACTATCTCCCCACCCCCAATTCCCCTAGCACTTTCTGGAGGCCATACTTGCTTTTCAGACTGGTGAGTCAGGTCTAAACTGTTAGGCCAAATGGAGAAGAGGAAGCTTACCCAAGGATATACTGCTTAAACAAAATTTGCAGCATGAATGTAAGTTAATTAAATGAAGGGGATAGAATAGGGGAAGGCGTACTCTAGAGACAAAAGCTGTGCAAGGGCCCTGTGGCAGGAGATAGCATGGTGTATTAGAAGAACTAAAAAGAAAGCCTGGTGACTAGATGCAGAAAGCAAGGGCAAGAGAGATCCAGGGTTGGGCCAGTTGGGGAAGGCACTGTCTTGTAGCCTACTCAGTTGTGGACTTTTCCCTTGGAACTCTGGGAAACCACCAAAAGACGGGAGAGAAATGTGAATTGTACTTGGATTTTCATATCACCCTTGCTATCTAATATGGAGCTGGATTGGAGGAGAAAGCAATTTCTGGGCCCTTACTTAGTTCTGGTGGCAAATGATGTGTTCTTAGTTTGAGCTGACTAAATGGTGTGCTGCGTTAGTTAAGTCAGGCTGCTGTAACAGTAGCATGGACTAGGTAGCTTGCAGACAACCACATGTTTCTTTATTCTAGCTCTGAAGGCTAGAAGTCTGAGATCAGGGTGATCTGGCGCACAAAGAGCTCAAGTCGCATAGAATCTTGGTAGGAGTCTGGGGCCAGACAGTGTGCCGTGGTAGAATGTGGTGCTACACTGTGATGGCCCACGTGGGAAGGTTCCAGGTTTGCGTCTGGATATCTGAGTACTTCGGGCATGTGAGTGCTCATGACCCAGAGGTGGCTGAAGTTAGTAGATCTCAGAGTCAAGACCTCACTGGGGATACTCGCTTGCTCTCTCTTTCTCGCTCATGAAATAAATAAATAAATGTATGTAAAAAGAAGAAAAAAACAACAACAATGAAGAATCTTGTTGGAAATCATCTGGCCCAGCTTTCCCGTTGAGGATCCCAGACATTTCACTTTTGCAGGAGCCCTCCAGTGGCAGGAAGTTGCTATTGTTCTAAAGTCAACAGTGACGGTGGGGTCAGGTCCCCTAATTATGAAGCAGTCACACACCTGATGGCTGTAGTTGTTTGAGTGTTTGCACACCTAATTTTCCTTCTCCCCTTCCCCAGGATGGCTTACTTGGAGGAGCAAGGAGGTGTCCCCTGTGGTTTCATCCGCCAGAATTCCAGCAACTCCATCTCCTTGGATTTCGAGCCCGACACGGAATACCAGTTTGTGGAGCAGTTGGAGGAGCGTTACAAATGCGCCTTTTGCCATTCGGTGCTCCACAATCCCCACCAGACAGGCTGTGGGCACCGCTTCTGTCACCACTGCATCCTGTCCCTGAGGTACGCGGGCAGGGCCTGTGGCTCAGGCCACAGTGGGCCAGAACCAGACCAGAGTATTCTCGGTGTCTCAATGCCAGCTGTGCCCACTGGACTATAATCATAATTTTTGGAATTGCCATGGTTGGCCATAGAACCACAGATATGAAGAGGGACTATCTCAGGGCCCCTCTATGAGTGCATGAATTGTTTTTTTGTTTTGTTTTGTTTTGTTTTGTTTTTTTGTAATTTGTTTCTATATGCGCACCTTTTCAGACAACACCTGATTTGTATGGGAGAACAGACCGAGATTGCAGCCCATTGTTGGACTTGGCTTTTGTGAAGGGCCTGGATCTCATAGTGTCTGGGTTGTCATCACTCTAACCTTTGCTTGCCTTGAGGTGCTGTCACTGCCATGAGTGCTAATATCCACTTCTAGGCAGCTGGAACACCTGGCTCATGCCATTCTCAGGGAGGAGACTGGCAAAGGCGTGGAAGCGTGTTGTGGGGGTGTATGTAGGGGCAGTCAGGCAGTCGTCTGTATCCTCCCAACCTTTGAGAGGGAGTTCTGACAGCACGTTCTCATGCATTCATTCATGTATTGGTGCATTCAGCACCTGTGTGTTCCAGGCACTTTGCTAAGCTTAGCTCTCACATACAGAGGTGACGAGCTAGAGATACAACGTGGAACAGGGCCCAGAGTCTGCCCTATACAGCATCTTAGTCCACTGGAGAAGACTGATTGTAGCAGTGTGACAAGCAAAGGACAGAGGGCATTTCTCTGTCTTGGAGGACTCAGTGTGTCCTGGAGGATAAATGGGAATTTTCAATGCAGACTGAAAGACTGGGGAGGTGCTGAAGGACCGGTGAAGGGGATGCCTTCTGAGTAAAAAGAACAGCGTGTGCAGCGACAGGGACTAGCCTGCTCAGAAATAGAGAGGGGCTGGAGGTCTAGGGCTGCTCCTGGAAGATCTGTTACGGTTAAATACCTAATTCTGACTCTACTTCTGTTTTTTTCTCCAGAGAATTAAATGCAGTGCCAATCTGCCCCGTAGATAAGGAGATTATTAAATCTCAGGAGGTAAGAAAAAAAATTTCTGTTTTGATTTAACAGCTCTCTGGGTGGTAGAGGAGTAATCGGTGTTCTGCCAGAATTGGACATGGAGATCGGAGCAGGAGAGTGATGGCGGGGGGTGGGGGAGGATACCTTCCTTGGAGTCCATATTCCTCTACTGTGCAGTCAGGTCAGACCCTACTACTACCCCTGTTTGAGAGAAGGTTGTTTAGGTCCTTTCTTTCCTCACCCTCCGTCCTCTGCCCTAGGTCTCCTTTTCTGCTTCCCCCTCACTTGCTTCTCACATTACCCCAGCCACATTGAGCTGCTGGGGGACACAAGAGCATCCAGTTTTCTGAAACTCATTTTCTCTTCTGGTTAATCCCCAAAACTTCCTTCTTCCTTCCATAAGCAAGAGAGACAGAGGGTTGAAGACACTTCAGGGTCCTCATACCATGATCCAGCCCCAGCCAGCCGCAGATCTTAGATATGCCTGTGCCCAGTGTGCTCAGTGAGGTCTCCAGACACAAACCCAGAACCTTTCCTTGCAGAGCATCTGTTTTGCTGCTGTGCCACCGTACAGCCCCTATCTAATATCAAAATACCGTCATCATTGCAAGAAGATACACCATACCCATTGGCAGTCACTCCCCTGTCCTTCCTCTTTCCAGTCCCTGGCAACCACTATCTAGTTTCTGCTTCTGTGAGTTTGCCTACACTGGATATTTTATATCAAACAAATCATACAACGTGTGGTCTTCTGTGTGTGGGTTCTTCCCTTAAGCATAATGTTTTCAGGGTTCATCCACGTTGAAGAATACATCAGCACTTCATTTCTTTTTATTGCCAAGGCCCTTTCCACTGTATGGCTTTACCGCATTTTGTCCATTCAACAGTTAATCAGATGTTTGGGTTATTTTTTACTTGGGGCTTTTATGAGCATGTTGCCATGAATATTCACGTTCAAGTTTTTGTGGACCTATGTTTTAGTTTTTCTTGAGTAGATACCTGGGAGTGGAATTTCTGAGTCATATGGTAACTATGTTTAAAATTCTGAGAAGTGCCCAACTCTTTTCCAAAGCAGCTGTGCCATTTCACATTCCTGCCCTCAATGTATGAAAGTTCTCATTTCTCTAGCTCCTTGTCAAAAGTTGTCATTCTCAGTCTTTTTGATTATAGACTTCCTAGAGGGTGCAAGTAGTATTTATTTGTGGTTTTGATTTGCATTTCCCTGATGGCTAATGATGTTGAGTAATCTTTTCATGTTTATCGTCTATTTGTATATCTCCTTTGAAGAAATGCCTATTCAGTTCCTTTGCCTATTTTTTTAAGTTGGGTTATTTGTCTTTTATTGTTTAATTGCAAGAGTCTTTTATATAGTCTAGATACAGTCTTTTTTTTTTTGAGGGGGGAGGAGAGGTTTTTGCTACAGGGCGCGTGCGCTCGCCAGACAGAGAGATGGAAAGTGAGAAATCACCCCCCAGGGATATGGCCACGCCGCAATCCCTTCTCCTCCATTCTCCTCTCGGGATCTTGGGCATGCACGCACACACGCCCGGCGTGAGTTTTAAGTCACCAGGTCCAGGACACGAACCGCGGTCGACTACATGGGAGTCCAGTGACATGGCCATTACGCTAATTGCTGGTCCCTAGATACAGTCTCTTATAAGATAAGTGATTTATGAATACTTTTTCTCCCATTCTGTGGATTGTCTTTTCACTATTTTTAAACATTTTTTATTTATTTCATGATTGTGAGAGACTAGCAGAGATAGAGATGCAGTATCCTTCATGGGTCCTGATGCAACACTCCACCCCTAGCTTCAGTCAGTCCCAGATCATAGGCACATTTGTACCCAGTGGACTGAGAGAAGTCTCTGAACTTGAATTGGCAACCTTCTCTTGTGGGTCTGTCTCACAGAGCATCATTCTTTACAGCTATACCACCATCTAGTCTAAAGTCTTTTCTTTTTCTCCCATGGAGAGATTTTTGCCATAGGGCAGATGCACTCACCAGAGAGAGAGAGAGAGTAAGCGAGAAGTCACCACCAAGGGGTGTGGCTACGCCACAGTCCCTTTTCTTTCATTCTCCTCTCAGGACCTTGGGTACGCATGCACATGTACCTGGCATGAATTTTAATCTGGGACTTGAACCACAGCTGACTACGTGGGAGTCCAGTGATGTAACCATTACGCTGTCTTCTGGTCCCTAGTCTCAAGTCTTTTAATTTTGATAGTCTGTTTTAGCAAAAGTTTTTTGGCTTGAAAAAAGTCATTTTATCTGTGTGTGTGTGTTTTGTTTTTGTTTTTTTTGTTTGTTTGTTTTATTTTGGTTGCTAGTTCTTTTGATGTTGTATCTAAGAAACCATTGTTGGGACCAGCAGTTAGCGTAATGACTATGTCACTGAACTCCCATGTAGTCGACTGTGGTTCGAGTCTCAGACCAGGTGGCTTAAACTCACGCTGGGTGCATGTGCATGCGCACCCAAGATCCCGAGAGGAGAATGGAGGAGAAGGGATTGCGGCATGGCCATACCCCCTGGGGGGTGATTTCTCGCTTTCTGTCTTTCTGTCTCTCTCTGTCTTTCTGTCGAGTGCACGTGCCCTATAGCAAAAACCTCTCCAAAAAAAGAAACCATTGTCTAAATCATAGTCGTGAATATTTTATCCCTTAAAACTCCCTTTTAAGTTCAGTTCCTTCCTTTAAAATTCTGCTGCAGGACATTCGAGCAGCCATTCCTTCAGGAGGCTTTCCTTCGGCACCTAATCTGATTCAGCTGTTCCTTCTCTATATTCCTTATGTGGTTTACTGTCAGAGGGCTCTCCTTGACTTACTGTCTGTCTGGTTCACTAGACCAGAGCTTGGCATCCCATAATATTGGGATAAATCCAGCCTGTCACCTACATTTGTATAGACTGAGAGCTAAGAAAATGGATTTTACTTTTTTTTATTTTAAGATTTTTTAAAATTTGCTAGAAGGTTCTCCACCAGAGGAGAGAGACAGGGAGAGGGAGTGAACATGAGAAAGCAACCCATCATGGGGAATGGCTATGAACAATCCTTTCTCTTCTGTCTAGCCCTCCTTTGGGGTTTTGGACATGCACGTATACTTGCACAGTATCTTTTACAAGCTGCCAGGTTTGGGACTCAAACCGTATAGTCATCCATGTGGGTCCAGCTGCCTTATTAACTACAACACTAGAGGGCCCAATTTTTACATTTTTTTAGGAGAGATTTTTGCTATAGGATGTGTGAGCTTGCCAGAGAGATACACAGAGACAAAGAGACAGAAAGCGAGAAATCACCCCCCAGGGAGATGGCCACACTGTAATCCCTTCACCTCCATTCTCTCAAGACTTGGGGAACACACACATGCGTACCTGGCATCAGTGTAAACCACTGGGTCCACGGCTGGGTCCAGGACTCAAACCACGGTCGACTACATGGGAGTCCAGCAACATAACTATTAACAGCATCTGCTGGTTCCCAGTTTTTACTTTTTTTTTTTAAGGATTGAAAGAAATCACAAGATACAAAGGGACTCTCCTAATTGTGCAACTTCTTATTGAGTCTTAAGCTATTTCAAAGTAAAAAATTACTTTAAAAATAAAAACCAGGTTTTGTGACACATGGAAATGATATAAAATTCAAATTTCAGTGTCCATATTTTATAGGAACACAGCTATGCCCATTCATCTAGGTATTGTGCATACCCGAATCAAAATGTGGTCATGGAGATGGTTGTAATGTGGCTGCAAAGCTGAAAATATTTACTATCTCACAGAGATAAGTGTGCCAACTCCTGGTTCGTCCTGAAATAGTGTCAGCTCAGCTTCAGCGACACTATTTGATGAGTAATACAAACATTGACCCTGAGACAGGAAGCTGAAAGCGTCACCCTTTCCATGGCTCTCCCTCCTAACCTTTGAGGATGTGGGGTCAAGTTCACCGTGAGATTCTCCTGGCACAGCCTGCTGCACTGGACGTTGAGTTACCTGGCTTGTATGTTTAGTGACTTGTCAGAAGTATGTATCTGTACCTGACACAGCTTTTTCTCTTAGTGTGATGGAGAGTGTGACTTTTTTCCATTCTAACCACTGTCTGGAAGTTTCCACCTGACTTTCGAGATATACTTGAATATCAGACTCATGGCTTGATTCACCTTACTGTAAAGCCTTGGTGTGTGTGAGAACTATGTGTTTATCTTTCAGGTATTTAAAGACAATTGCTGTAAGAGAGAAGTCCTCAATTTATATGTTTATTGCAAAAATGCTCCTGGATGTAATGCCAAGATTATTCTGGGACGATACCAGGTTGGTATTACTCATGAAAGACGTTTGCTTTTACTGTTTTTCTGTGATACATATTACTCACCTTTCTGTGACAGCTACTGGGCTATGCATGGTGGAGGGATTCACTGGGTTGCCCTCCGGGTTCTCAGTCTAGCCAGACAGTGTGCTTGTAGTACTATAGCACACCATGGGCTGAAGTGTGCGTGAAGGGATCCCTTCTGTGAGGACTACATGGAGTACTGTAAATGGTGTGAGGCATGGATCATTGAGCCAAAGAGAGGGTATGAGACATGTTGGGCAAAAGGAATGCTCAAGCAAAAACATATCATTTGGGGCTCCTTTTGAAGGACTTGGGGTCTTTTGGGTAGGAACCAAGGTATAACTGACGGAAGACATGATTGTAAGGGCCCTTCCTCAAAAGCACTTGGTCTCTCATCTGGTACTGTGGGGAGTGTTCCTCAGCAGCTGTGGGCCCTGGTCTCACAGGGCCGAAGATCTTAGGCAGATCACACAGCAGGGCAGAGGTAGGATGTGGGTAAAGGTAAAAGACTGGTATGTGATGCAAACAAACAGGTGTACGTGAAGATTTCCTTTCAGATAAAACGACCGTAACTGCTCTCCCATCCAGTTGGGGGATTTTGTTAATGGGAAGGTGGAAATGAGGCCCTGCCTAGCAGGCCCCTGTCAGGTTTGATCACACTACAAATGAATAAGACTCAGGCCTCTCTGGCTTCCAGGGAGTTGTGTGGAGGCTGCTGAAAATTTCCCCTCACACCCACACAGTTTGGAACATTTTTTTCAGATGATTCAGTCTTTTCTGTATCATGCATCCAAATCCCCCAGGCACTGAGCTTACAGATGTGTAAATGAATTCCCGGTTAACCCAGGGATTTCTTTGGAGGTTCATGAAACTTCTTTAGTGTCTTCATGTGACAGTCCTTTGCCACTTCTTTTATGTAGTCAGGTCCTAGACCCAGAAAGGCCTCTTTTCCAACTTAATTGTCAGTAAGCTCAAAAAGAAAAAGAGGCTCAAATGAACCCTTGATGGCTGTGGTAACCAGATCGCCTTCTTTAGGACAAAGTGCTGATTTTCTTCTACCTGTTTCTTTTCTATCTTCCCTTGTTCCTTTTCCCCTCCACCCCCTTGTGTGGTACTGGGATCTTACAGGTATCAGTTGTTCCGGGTTTTTGTTTATTGGTATGTACACATATATGTATTTAGGGAGATTTTTGCTATAGGGCATGTACACTCAGAGACATAGAGTGAGAAATCACCCCCTAGGGGGGTTGGCCACACCACAGTCCCTTCTCCTCTAGGGATTTTGGGCATGCATGCACATGCGCCCAGCATGAGTTTCAAGCCACCGAGTTCAGGACTCAAACCACTGTCGACTATGTGGGAGTCCAGCTTCGTAACCATTACGCCTACTGGTCCCTGTTGGGTTTTACTTTTAATGCCTCAGAGCACACACACAGGAGGAAAGGAAAGAGAAATCTCCCCCAGCAGGGCCTGGTCACAGTACAGCCCTTGTTCCTCTAATTCTCCATCTTGCCAGGACCCATCCTCCTCTGTGTAGCACTAAGCCTGTGCTTCAGGGCTGGCCCAGTAGCAGAGCTCTGATGAATGCCGGCTTTTTTGGAGAGTTGAGCAGCGGCGTCAGTGAATTAGAGAAGCTGTGGATTTCAGCCGCCATCGCCGTTTGTATCTTGCTTCCAGAGGCAAAGGAGAATAGCTACATTTATTTATCTTACTATAGAAAAGCTGTTCTCTTTTCCTTCAGAGAAGAGGTCAACAAACAAAAGTTAGACAGTGAACATTTTCGGGTTTGCAGGCCACACAGCCTGTGGCAACTGCTCAGCTCTCCTGTTCCAGAGGGGAGACAGCCATGGACAATATGTGAACTGATAGCATGGCCATTCCCCAGTAAAGCTTCATTCACAAAACCAGGAGCAGGCCAGATTTGGCCCGCAGGCCTTAGCTTGCCAACCCTGTTGTACAGGATCTCCCTGTTGTGCGGGGGGACAAGTCCACTAAGATTTTGGTAACTTGTCAGCGTCACGTAATGTGCAGCGATCCCAAGGTCTTCATTGAGCTATGCCTGCTTTCCAAACTGACCATGGAGACCCCTGGAATGAACACTGTCCATCTCACTGTTTTCTAGCATTCGGGTTAAGAATATTTCCTGATTTTACAAATCGGACCATTCATGGCTTTGCTGGGCCCACGAGCCGGTATCTCCTCCATCTTCTTTTCTTTACCACTTCTGCAGCAGCTTCCTCTCCCTCCCCTTTCTTACGCTCTT